GTTTAATTCCCAGGGACAAGAAGTGCTAACAGGCATAGTCCTGAGCTTGAAAGATTAAATTCAGGGTATGATAGATAAGTGCTCAGCCTGGAACTGGACTTAAAACACTGACTCATTGTTAGCTGCAATGCTTACTCAACTTTTACTGCTCTCAACCACACAGTCTGTGCGACAGCAGGCAATCTCTTTGGTGAGAAATGATGTTGCAATATTTATGGCAAGATCCAGTAAGAGCTTGTCAGATGACTCTTCTGAGCTTGTAAATTGGAATAAGAGTCACAGGAATCTTCTTTGAGAGTTGTATGCTCCTAAGAAAATGGGTAGTTCCAATTGCCCTTTTGACCGAGCAAGTATTAGCATAGATATCATGCTTGGGCCAAGTCACATGAACAGGTACTCCCAAAGCAACAGCAAGGAGGGCACTTGCTTAACAGCCAACAGGAAATTTACACAATCAAGATGGGGCAGGCCAAGGAAATAAGAAACCAGCTCTCAGTGCAAGAAGAAGAAAGCTTCTGCCATGCTGCTGTAATCCAAATCTCCCGAATCAGATCAGAATTAATACCTGATCACTAATCAAGCAGTAACTTATGATGGATGCATTTAACCATATAGGAGGCTGATTGTGCAAACAACAATTGAGTGATAAAACTACTCTAGGACAATTTCACTTAAGAGTTTTCAGGTGGTAATTATGGGAATCTAGGGGATTCTAGGGGAAGAAAATAAACAACATCTATGTACTGGATCTAAGCTTTTGCATACAATGGGCAAAGTATCTAGAAGAGCAGCTCTAGCGTTGTTTGTTTAATATTTGAATGTGTATGGCTGCCCACTTGCCATATGACTCTGTAACAGAGGGTTAAAAATACAATAGAAATACTTAAAACACATCGTTCCCGAGGTAACTCACATTAAAGGCAGCAGCTACAGACTCAGTTCCCCCTCCCTCACTTGCAGGGACCAGCATCTTGTCAAGGCCAGCTGAGAAGTCTGGGAGAGAAGCATCTGACAGAGTTGGAAAGTTCCCCCTTCCCTCCCATTGCACAGCAGCCAACACTAGAGAGGGTAATGTGGTGGGCAGGAAAGGCTCTCCTTTGTCCTGGGGCTTTCTGTCTATTGATAATGGCACCAGGTCATAGGGATCAGAATTTCAGATGGAACTGGTATACAACATGTGGCGCATGCACATTTGCCACTCTCTCCTGCAATCTCTCTGATTTAGGATAACCCTTTGAAGTAGGATATTACAAACATTCCTCCTGCATCTAGAATCCAGAATACATTCAACTTCATATTCCTCTTCCCCAATCACCAGTAGCAGGGGGACTGATAAATTTTGAATGCAAAGATAGGGTGGCTCCTCGTAACCAAGGAGTGACCAGTTGAGTATGAATGGATGGATGAATCTTCATAGAAGCAGGCAATTGCAGATAGAAGGCCACTGAGTTATCTTGTTGTACAACTGGTAAAGAGTCAAGAAACTTTGACTCCAGCTTTTTAGATGGGTGGGCAGAATACAAAAATTTAATGGAAAGCCACACCAAATCTACTACTGCAGTTTTGGCTCCAGAAAGTCATAAGAGAGAAGAACAGTGGAAATCAGAGTTCTGGAGGGTAAGATGTGGGATAGTAGCCATTAGCTGCCTGAAAAGGAGACATACCTATGGAGGAATGAATTGAGTTGTTATAGGCAAAGTCTGCAAAAGGCAACAGTTCATTCTAATTGTCCTGGTGATAAGAGACATAGCACAGTAAATAATTGTTTCATGTTCTCCAGTTACCCAGTAGAACCCAGATGATGACACAATGACAAATTAATCCAAGTGTCCAATAACTGGAGGTGGACCTTCCAAAACCTGGAGGTAAGTTGAGAGCTACGATCCAAGCCCCTGTGCCTAAAAACATGGTACAGAAAGAGTTGTGCAGCTTTCTGAATGAAAGGGAGGCATTTGCAGAAAATGAAATGAGCCATTTTGGTAAACAAATCCACTATAACAAAAATGGTTTGTAACTCTTTATAGGTAGAAGACTGGTAATAAAATCCATGGATACTGTGTCTCAGGGTCAAAGAGGGAGGGGAGGGGCTGAAGTAAAGAGTTTGGTTAGTCAGGACAGCTGTGGCCTAGTGACAGACATGGCAGGATGAAACAGACATATGCTCTTACCCTTGACCACCAGAACTCTCTCAGCACCCAAAGTTTTAAACACTTCCTCTTGTCCAGCAGTTCTGTTGTCATGGCAAAGTTGCAATATTTCTTCCCTTATATGAAGGGGAACATATAAATGGCCATTATGAAATAACTGTCAGTCATAGAAAAAGGGAAAGAATCAGTCTGTGAGTTACCCTGGAGGTCATACATCTGAGTCCTAACATATGGATCCTTTTGTTGTTGCAATTTAATCCAATCCTGCCTTCCTGGTTCCTACCTTTCTGGGGGGTCTATACTTGGGAGAGGAACAAAGTTGTTCAGGTTCAAGGTTGTAAAAGGGAGGGATTGTATTCAAGTTTACATGATAGTGCATCTGGTAGCTCGTTTTGTCACCCAGGAATATACAGTAGGTGATATAAACCACTGAAATGGAAGAAAAATTGGGTCTACCTGATCTGACTTGGTGTGAGCACCTGTGTTTTTTGCAAGTGCCCCAAATTGTTGTGATCTGTGTGCACTTGAGTACTTGTACTGGGTGGGTTGTTCCTTCCAAGAAATGTCTACATTAATGGAATTTTGTTTTTATAGCAAGTAACTCTCTACTGAAAATGTCACAGTTCCTTTTACCTGGGAGAAGCAATTGGGAATAAATACACAAGGCAAGAGATCCTGCCGAAGCTTGAAGGAGAACAGCCCAAGACAGTTTGAGGGATCAGTTTGCACAACGAAGGGACAAGAGGGATCCAGATGTCTGAGCAGTGGCTTCGGGGAGAAAAGGATTTTTAAGTCCTGATTAATTGTTTATTCTTCAGTAGATAATTTATGTCCTTTCTTTAGAAGTTGAGAGAGTGGTCTTGTGCATTCAGCAAAATTAGGGATAAAAGAAGGATTTGGACATCCTTCACATTTCTAGATGCCTGCCATGAAAGGACGGACTATATTTTTGCAGGATCCATTTGTATTCCATCTGTAGAAGTCCAGTAACCCAAATAGTCCAACTGGGGAAGATTAAACACACATTTCCAACTTAATAAAAAGTTTGTGGAGTTGCTCCAAGATATTTGTGACAAGAATCTCATAAAAAGATGGGACTTTTGGGGAAAAAAAAATCAGTACGTCATTCAAGTATGCCGCTAATTTGTCCAAAATACCAGAAAAGATTTAATTCATAAACCTGGAAAAGATTGCAGGACAATCAATCAATCCAAACTGTATTATTGTGTATTTGAATTTGCTATAGTAGGTGTCAACGGCTATTAAATATTTGTGGCCCTTTCTCATTCTGATCAGATAGCATGCGCCTCTCAAGTCCAATTTAATGACACTATATACCTTTTGAAGGTGGCCCATTCCTTTGCAGTCCATTAAGTTGAAGGTTTACTGTAATTTAGTCTTCTTTCAAAAATGCTAGCTGTTGGATTTTTTTCCTATTATGCAGGAAGGATTTAGTCTCTCCATCCTCCACCTATAGCCTGAAGTGGTACATTCCAGAAAAAAAGTTTTTCCTGTAAATTAGGCTAGTCAAGTGATGGCTCTTATCACAGACCTGTAATCAGTCAGATATCTGAGGAAAGAAGGGAGCCAATAGCTTTCATTTCTCCACTTACTTGGAATGTGGTACAAGTTGACCAAATACCATAAAAGAATTAAAGTTTACACTGTCGTAAGCTAGCCCGTGAGAAATGGCTACCTAAATTGATTTGGGCTCAGACGTTACCAACAGTGGATCATCACAGGTGACAATTTACAAAGAAATAACTTACTGAACCCGACATGCAAATCCATTTAAGGAGACCCCTAACATTAGGCAGAGTGAGGCAGTCCTCTCATATTGCTGGTTTGGGGTGCTTTCCTCCCAATGTCCAGGGAAGACATGCGATATGTACTGCAGGAGGTAGGAAAGTAATGGGGAATCCCATTGAAAAGCCAAAGTATTCTGATTTAAAGTTGGATATAACCCTATATTTTATTCCCCAAGAGAGGTCTTTATGACTTTTTTGGGGGGGGGTTGCTTGAGACACTAAAATAATTTTGGATACCCTTAGATATAATTTGATTTGAGGATTTCTGTAGTATCATCTTGTCGTATGCTAAATGTTACCATATGTTTGCCTCTTGCAGAAACTTGGGAACCCTGTTGAGGATTAAACTTATTAGTACTTTGGTAGAATACTACAGAGAATAAAGGGTTTCTCTCACAGCTATCATGGTAAACAGCTGTTTTAAAAAATCCTTGCATATTTACTGTAAATTGAAGGCTTTATGGTCATTTCCAGCAGCTGCAAATCATCATTCTTTTACATTTAGTTGCTTGTAATGATAAGGCTGTTTTACAAAAAAAAAAAGTCTTTGCACCAGATCCATATTATTTCTTGTATTTTACCCATCTTCAAACTTCCAATCTTCTTTTCAATATTTGATGAATTAATTGTATTACTATTTACTATTTGAACTATTACTATAGTTCAAATTTAATTATAAGTTGACATCTGGTTTAATGAAAGTGTGGATTAACGTGCTTGGAGAGGTATAAAGCAGAATCTGGGTTGACACCAGGATACTTGTATACATTGTTACATGCTTTGAAAATGGATATAGATAGCAACAATAACAACAAATTAAATTTCTTGACTTGACCATAGGATGAGTCCCTCAGCTCTATGTTAATGTTGAGGCAAAGAGGTCACATGATCACAATATGCCATACATTGAGTGGATTCTCTTAATTCAGATTTGGTATTGAGTTAAGTTACAAATATCTTCACTGTATGGTCCTTCATACTGGTGGACAAATAATTTAACCACTACCAGTTTTAAATTTCCTTTTTTTTTTTTTAATGAGCAGCTAGAGTCAAAAATGCCATCAGTTTGTAAAGGGAATCAAAGTAAAATTGTCTTTGGATAAAAGACAGAATCGGCTTCATTTTGTTTGGGAAATTCAGGAAAGGAGAACAGAAGTCATAAAAAAGAAGAAAAACCCTAAAAACTAAATTAGCCAAATTTTACAAAACCTCAGTATTTTACAAATTTGCAGATATTTCCCTCATCCTAACGCAGAGGTAGCAGATGGATTGATTCTCTTGTTCCTTCACATGGACACATATCCTTAACATGAGAGAACACCATGGTGCTCCCCTTTTTACCTGATTGGCAGTATCTGCTGGATACCGATGGAAATGGGCATGGTGGGGCTTCCCACCTGATCCCATCCCATTCCATATCATCAAATATCCTAAGTAGAATTCAATGCAGCTTGCTTGCTTCCCTCCCTCTTTCCTTTCCTTTCCTTTCCTTTCCTTTCCTTTCCTTTCCTTTCCTTTCCTTTCCTTTCCTTTCCTTTCCTTTCCTTTTTCTGTCAATGTGTATAATTACATATATTTGTAAATGGAAGCCCAAAATGTTTCTAACAGATGTGTACTCACTCAGATTTGAGAAAAACTGTATCTATATCCTCTAAGCAAAATAGTAGTACTTGTAACCTTTCCCTAATACAGTTCAAACCAGTCAACTCTATTCTCTTTTTGCTTCCCTGATTTCAGAAGATACTTCAACAGAGTTATTTCATGGGAAATCAGTGCTGTATAAAGATAGTTTTGGCTCAGAGTTGATTTTGTCTTTCCAGAAATTCCCCATAGTTATTGCAAAGTTACTTCAGTAGCCATCCAGAGCTAACAAGCTTCTGCATCAATCATTTACTGGAAGAAATATTTGTTCCTGCTGAGCTCCTCAGTTTCATGACTGAAAACATTTTTCTCCTCTTTACTGTGATGCATAGTATAAGCCTGCCTGTTGGATGTTCCAGTTGAACAAATGTCTCGGCAATCCTGTATTTCAGGACGGAGAGGCCAGTCAGCACGATGGAGCTAAGACTCTAATTCTGGATCCGTATAAGAAAAGTTTCTAAATTCCTCTTGGTTGATCATGGATAGTATTCCTTCTTCAATGGGAGTCAAGGTTGGCTCTTCCTTTAAAAATTCAGGATCAAAGTTACTCACATCTTCTTTTGATTTCTGGCAAATGAAAGGAAAAATAAATATTAGCTGTCTCTATTACCTGGAGGATATTATGTTGGCAGAAGCTAGAAGGACACATAGTCTGAGCTATAGATGACAGCTTCTTATCTCCGCACTGGAGTCAGGAAGTGTCACCTGATACACAAATGTGAAGAGTTTTTCTTACTGAAGATATGTTCTCTTCTTTTGTGGAGTATATTCTGAAGTGATGTAGTGGTTAAGATATTGGGCTAGGGCCAGGGAAAACCAAGTCCCCCTCACCTATGAAGTTTGCTGGGTGACTTTGGGCCAATCGCTCTCTTTTAGCCCAACCTACCTCACAACTTTGTTGTTGTTTCTCACAGGAGAAAACTGGAGAAAGGACTGGTATGTACGCTGGCTTGAACTTCAAGCAGAAAGGCAAGATACAAATTTAACTAACAAATAAATAAAACAAATGTTTCCTCCTTTGGTTAGACTTTGGTGGTCACACAAACAACTGCCCACCTGGTATTTCTCAGATTGGAGATTTGGGATCTACTGTAGGTAGCCAATATATAGTATGAATTCTGAAAGTGGGCATCCCAGCAAAAGCACCCAAGCACCATTTGGGCAATGCCCATATTTATTTTTTAAAAATGCCCAGGAAGCTACTTCAGATCAAGCAGGCACTAGTCCATTTCTCTACTAGATTGGCTGGCCCTAGATTGAACCTTTGACATTTTGCATATAATGCATGCATTCCTTTAATGGATGTGATCTGTCCCTTCCTTGCACAGACACAGACACAGACACACACCTACTCACAGTTTTAAACACTTACGATTCGAGGTCGGAAAGGTGGCTCAATCTGGCGCTGGTTCAGCAGGTCCCAGTCCAATTCCTTAAAGTATGGGTGCAGGAGAATCTCCTTCTCTCCACCCAAAGCACTACTGCCGAGTCGCATTTTAGGGTTCTTTGTCATGAACTATTAAAAAGGGAGGGAGAGAGGGAAGTGATGAACTCTCAACCATGCAATGTCGGTTTTAATTAACATTCACCCAGTATCTAAATATTGGCATATCTCACATGCAGGCCAAAGCTATTATTAAAGCATATTATGATAATAATTTGTTCTGAAAGCTGATTTAAAAATTCATTATATATATGTCCATGATTCTTAAACTGTTTTAAACATATAGGCTCTGTTTGCATAACACAACGATCATAACTGGTTAAAGACTCAGTGGCTGCATTTCTACAATGTAGAAATCTTAACTAGTTTTAACCGTACAGTAGCACAAGCTTAGCTAGATTGGTTGGTTTATTATTCATTGTATAGTGTGAACTCAAAAAAATGGGTTAATTCAGTAACCAGACTGAATCTATTGTGCAAATGCAGACATGATGTTGGCATGCTAAATCATTAATATATGCAAGGAACAAAAGTAATAATGCTGGTTTAATCTTAAATCCCCTAACACTGTTCTAGTACTTATTGTAAACTCTGGAGTTCTTAATGTGCTTTGTGGTTCCAGATTAAGCTCTTTATAGGCAGTGGCCAGCCAGAAGTTTTTGGAAACTATCCAAAATTTTGGGTTGTCCAGTATCTAACAGACCTATGCACACTTTGAAAATTACTTGGAAGAAGTGCTTTGTGTCTTGCATAAATACAAGACTGCTATTCATTAAGTAGCCCAGCTTTTTCAGACTTCTGTGCAAATCCAAGAAAAAAGTTGCAGCTGCCTTAAGAAACTCATTAATGTTAATGAGTTGACTCTTTAAAGCAGCCCCAATGTTTTCTCAGGCTCATGCAATCCTGCTTGACACCCATAATGGTTGTTCCACTCATTTCAAAGGACGGACACAACATTTTTCTCCATGGAAGTGAATGAGGGAGGTATGAGAATGTCATTTACACATCAAACTATATACAATTACTTCCATTACAAATGTTTTCACAGTGCTTCCTAATCCAAAAATTAACTGCACATAGGCCTTTAATTGCTGGAATAATGCCTAATTTTTAAAGGATGTACCAACCGATTGGCATCTAACTTTCTATTTATCATATTTATATGGCCACCCATCTCACAAGATGTGACTCTGGGTGGTGTATAATAAAAAAAAATAATAACAGTATTAAAAACATTCCAAAATTCTAAAAAAATATATTATTAAAAGGCTTTAATTTAAAAGAACACATTCCTAAACAACTGAAAGTGGAAATATCCAGAGCCAGAAATTTTATATTTTGCAGCAAAAGATGCCCTAAGGGTTGGGGGTGGGGGAGGAAAAAAAAAAGGCAGGGAGATTACCATAGAGGAGATATTACAGAGAACAGTTACATCATAGAACCATTTTATCTGTCCCAAATGGTCTTCAACTGTGGTGAATCTGTGTTCATAGTTCCACTTGAAATAAAGTGATTGGTCTCCAAGCATCATTAATAGTTTATTGCACTGAAATTGAGTGTAAAGGTGATATACTCAGCCTTCACTCAAGTTTTTCAGGATGTTCTGAAAAAGCAAACTACTACTTTTGAAGGATTTCTCAGTAAAACTATCAATTTCTTGATCACAACTCCTTTCTGCATCAATGATGTCATTCTGTTCCACTGTTTGTGCTGTGTTTCTACATAGCTTTTATTCTCAGAAGAAGCCAACTTCCTCATAGACCTTACTCATCTGTGAATGGGTTGGATAGTCCCAGCTCTTAAGACAGTGCATTATGCATGGCAATAAAAAAGATAGTGTCACTCTGCCCCCCCCACACACAAAAACAAAAAAGGTACAAATATGTACAAAAATCATACTTGCTTATATACATATGCAGATAGATATTTAGAAATCATAATTATAAATGTAAAATAATAGCAAGCACATTATACTGGAAAAATCTATGACCAGAAGAGCTGGGCGCCTACTGCTCAGTGTATGGAATGGGTGCCAACTATGGTGAGAAATTTCAAGTCCCTGCTTTTCTTTATTCAGGTGCTTCTTGGTTTTTATACCTAAACAGGACAGAACTTCCAGGAGATTATCACCTACAGACGGAAGCCCTTCAAATGGCAGAACTGTTTATTATAAAGAAGGAGGCATGGCCACGTGGTGTCTGCAAATCAGGAGAGCCCTGAAGGAAAATAGTGTCCTGAACTTATCTTTGGGTAACTCCAGCAAAGGCTATTTTCCAGACAACCGAACTTTTAATCTCTGTCCTTCTGATTCCAGCATAAAATGCATCTCAGAATGAGGTTTGCAAATCTATCCCCCATCTTCTCTTTTCAGAACTCATGCAGTCTGTACAGTCCAGATCAAGCAAATCAAGATGAGCTTATCCAAAAAGTGATCCAAAGTAGTGTCATTCTTTCTATTTTTAATGGCTTCTCAGTTTCAGAAAAACAACTGTCTTGAAAGGGAAGTCCCACATCCATGTAAATATTGAGGCTATATCAAGATATTATGTAATTACAACCTCCTGATCACAACACAGTTTGATTGCTGAAGGACAACTTGGAGTTCTCCTTTGTCACATAACTCTCAAAGTTATGGTTATTGCTTCTGGCAATTAGGATCTCACCACCAGCACTTTCTGCCAGCATGTTCTTGGCCTGTGATCTAAGGCTGTCTTTTAGGCCGCATTACAAGCCTGCTAGGCATTATTGACGATTGCAAGGCAAATCTGGTCCAGCAAACCCCAGAAAAACCTGCTTCATTTGCAGATTTTGTTTCCAAGATGAAAGTGTAAACTAGTTCACTTTTCCTGCCGGCTGCTCAGCCTTTTCTGCACTGATGTCTATCTTGTCTCAGTGGTGTAACTGCCTCTGGAGCTGGCTAACCACTTTAACTGTGGTTTGTTTGACATGCCACATGACTCTTGTCCCTAGCAGTTTGGTTTTTCAGTAGCTGATCTCCCCAGACCCCTGCTGCAGCCAGAAAGAAAATATAATTAACTATCCCTAGACTGCAAGTGCCATCACTATGAATGTACTTTAAAAGACAATCACCAGTTTTGATCATGAACAAAACCAGCCTTGCATCAGTACAATCTAATGGTCTGTATTTGTACTAAGCAATACTCACATAGAATCATATGATTCTGTGTGATTTAGATGATCTGACACCAACCAGATTAATTAATCTTACTTAATTAAACTCTCACCTTAATGCCACAGAGTCACATAAAAGCTACCAATTAGACATCTCCCAAAGCTTTCAGAATTCTTAGAAAGGGAGGAAATGAAGGTTTTTTAATTGAGTAGACAAACAAGGGCAAACCTTCATCACACACTTTTCTTTCTGTTTTAATATTTCTGAAAAAGAGGAACTTGGTGTTCAGGGCCTTTTTACAAAAGATTTATCCTTTCTATCAAATAGTGTCCCAGAAAAGAAGAGAAAAGGTTGAGTTACTATGCTTGTGAGCATAAAATGATTAATTTATGGCATTGCTTTATTATACCAAACCCTTCTTGTTACTGTCATAATGATGTTATGATTCTTTCTCATTTTGTATTGCAAACAAACATGCTTTTTTATTGTTGGCTGAGTAAAGTAAACTGAACACAGAAGAAAGAAAACTCTAAATAATAGAATCTAACCTGAAAAAATAATCTGATATTCAACTGTTTAAAATACACATATTACTGTTTAAACCAGTGTTTCTCAACCTTGGCCTCTTTAAGATGAGTGGACTTCAACTCCCAGAATTCCCTAGCCAGCCATGCTGGGTAGGG